AATCAGAAAAACTTGCATCTCTCTTCCTCCCCCTCACTTATTTCGCAGTAATATTTAACTCCATTATACATGAACATGGATCATTAATGAGAGCAAAAACAAGACGTGTAATTAATGTCGTGGCTATATGTCATCATCAGTTTTCGAATACAACTCGCAATTCCATAATGTGATGAGAGTGACGCATGAGATGTACAAGTCATGCAATGCTTCGTCACCGTTGGCGACCTTCAGCACAGGGAAGGATTCCATAGTGATACAGAATCACGGCCACCACTTCTTCTTCTGTGGCGTCCCTGGTCACTGCCAATCTGGTCAGAAGGTTGACATCAACGTCCCCAAGGTCTCTGCAACTTCAGAAGCTCCTACTCCTTCGGCTTTGGCCTCTCCCACAGTTTCAGTTCCAAACAACGAGCCAGCACCTTCTCCTAATCAAGCTGCTTCAATATGGTGTTTGTTTGCTTTCAAGGAACGTTTTGCGTTTCTGGGCTTGTCCATTGCATTGCTCTTTGCTTGTCCTTAAATATTGCCGATCTTTCTTGATGGGTATGCTCAATGAGCATGTGCTTTTGTAACCAGTTAGTCATGCTTAATAAAAATCCATTGAGAATGAGTGTTTTAGATGATAAAATGTATCATTAAGTTCATTGTAATTTGTTGGAAATGGTCAGGCAAAGCTTCTCCAAAGGGTCAATGTCTGGATCATTTGCCGAGATCATTAGGGGCATGTTTGTAAACCTTTTTGCTTAACAAGATTATGGGCATGCACATGAAGGTCATTATCCATAGAAAAAACAGGTGTATATATATAGATATATATGAAAGAGAAGGTTTTCAATCTGAAATAAAATGAAGAGTCATTATATATTTCTCTACGCTATAATTTCATCCTTCCAACTTGAGTCAATCATCTTGCCTGTGTCAATACCCAATATATGTCAGATATATTCAAATAAAGAAAATAAAGGCATGATGGATGATGCAGAGTTTTTTTGCCTGTAAAAAGAGGGGAATAAGAAAATGAATTGGTGGATAAACTTTGATATAGAAACATAAAATCCTTACAAACAAAAAGCACGATGATAAGTTCATAGATTCTCCTCCCATCGGCCTCCATAAGTAATGAGGTAGCAAAAAGGCTCGTAATATTACTTGTTTAAAATTGGACTTGGAAATTTTGGGGGAAAAAAGGAATATAATTTTGAAATGCGTAGATTCTCCCTTGTCACAGTAAAAATCTAGAAAGGCAAAATGAGAAAGGAGACACTTTTTTCTTTTTGATACAATAGGAAACAAATTTTATAAGATCTAATTATATACAAGTTCAAGCCTATTTTATGAATGAACCAATAAGACAAAGCTAAATGCCTATGTGGCATGAACTCACTCTCTTTCCACTTACTGAAGTTGATGAATATGGTCGAGAAATTGAATGAAATTATCTAAAACTTGGGACATTTGAATTTTCGTTGGCTTCCTGCGACTTTATATTTTTAAGATTCTGCAAAAAATCCACAACAGAGGCCGCAGTCCCTTATACTATATTTTTTTTTAACAGAAATGAACAATGCGAACGTGATATGCTAGTAAAAGCTAGTACAAGAGTAGGTTTTCTAATTTATATCGCTGAAATAGACCGGGGAAAAAAATGAAAACCAGTTAGTTAAGCATGTAAACATTCATTTCGCCTCTATTCTAAGTCGATTTTCATAATACCTGCATCCCTTCCAAAGCCACCTATACAATGCAAACAAGCATCTAATGAAAAAGAATTTAATGATGTAACAAAATTTGAACAAGGATATACGAACCCATCAATCATCATAATGTAACTTTGAGCTTGCCACTAATTTAAGAAAATGTAAATCTCAACAATAAATACGCCACCATGATTGAAAAGAATATTCACACATTCCCATTCCAATGCTAAATGCTGGTTACCTCATCTTATCCATAATCTATTAACAAATTCCTAAACCACATGCCTAGTGAATTAATATACAAAATTATAGGGCATTGTTTGCAATCCCTCCCCCTAAAAAGTAATCCAGACCAACCATGGGGGGCCTCTATCATATTTAAACATGAATTTAAAAAAAATATTAATGAAGAATGAACTTGAAATAAAATTGAATGTAGAAAGGCCTAATCTACAGGCTGCACTAGCCAGAAATTTGATCCTGAACCAGTAGGCCATTTAACAAAGGCCGCTCAGCATCTGCATTCCTGGTCATCAATTTTTTATCACGATTCTGCATTCTGTAATGGAAAAAAAAATCGTAAACAGAATATTCAAAAGTCAATTTATTGCAACTAGATACCCACTAAAGGATTTAATGATAATCCCGTCTTAGAAGAGAGAATTGCAGCAGCAAATACACTGGGAATTCACAATGACACAAGCCACAGTCATTAAAAGCCTACCCGGTCCTATTCAACCAATACACATTTCCTATTTAGGCTCTAACGCGCTATTTTGGAAAGAAAATCATTGTTCATTAGGTAACTGAACCTTGGAGAAAAGACAGGTTCCAATGAAGCACAAAACTTGACAGAAAATTACATGACCCTACAAAATATCAGAGCAACAATTGCAAAGAGGGCACCAAAACATAATTCCATGGCATGGCAATCCACAACCACCAAAAACTGAAATTGCGTTAGAATCGTTGCTTAGCATAATTACTTGAATTCACTTTCACTAAAATAGATGTAACATAAGTGAAGCATCAGAGACCTTACTCTAGTTGATTGGAGCTCTACCGCATTCACAGTTTCAGCGTCCTGGTCAAACATTAATTACATAGTAAGAAAATATTAAATATTCTGAAGTTCCAACAAACTTAAAATTCAATAGCCGCTATGGCAAAAAATAAAAAATCAACAGCCGCTGAGAAGATTACCTCAATCAACAAGTCTTTTCTGGTTATCAAGCCAAGTACACGAGATGGACGTGGAACAACAATAAATGCCTCAACCCTAATTGGCGGAAAAGATTGTAAACCTGCAACATCAGCAAAATATAATAATTATTTGACATAAAAGGATAATGTAAATGAAAGAGTTTTCAAGGAAAGGATGAAAAAAAATACACCTTTGTCAACGACATATCTTCAGGCACAATGTATGGCGATGGATTCAAAAAAGGGGCAAGATCTATGTACATTTCCAAGTCATCTGAACTTAAAAATATATCATCTATAGATATTCCCTTACTAGAAACAGGCTTTGCAAATTCGCCAAAGTCATGCCTGGAAGTTCAAAAAAGCCATGAGAATAGAGAAGAAAAGGACAAATCTAAAAAGCTCCATGAAGCTTTACCTTATTGGCCTTGCTTCACCTCTGGGATCAGAGGGTAAAGGACTATACTGGAAATCAACTTTTGTTTGCAGAATTACCAATAAATGACTGCACAAAGAGACAGATTACGGAAACTTAAGGTTTCCAGCAATGCAAGCTTTTGCCTACAAAACCAAATAAATAAAGACAGATGCAGGATAATGAAACATCCTCACCTTCGAAGTACTAATCCAATAAAAGTGGTTCTCCACTTCTTGTGTGATCAATAACCTGTGCATAGTAAATATTGAAAAATTTAGAAAATGGAAGGCATTAAATTATTAAATGAAAAAACATAGATCATATATGAGCTAGAAACATACAGGAAAACCATTGTGTTTGTTGCTCCGAAGAATAGAAACTACATCTGCAACCTTAACAACACGGGGGAAGGAGACCACCTGCAATGTACAGTCGATATTACAATCTGTTGCAAAAAAAAAAAAAGCAAGTGTGCAGAGCATATTCCAATTAGGGGGGGAGGTCGTATTTCATAAATGTTGGGCATTCAATAATATAATTTAATTGTTACATGAAGATAGGTGGCATTTTGTTGAGCAGCACCTTTTCTTGATGTGACAGCACAGTGACAGCTGTTGAAAGAAATGCATACAGAAGAGGCCAAACAAAAAACTTTTCTTTCTCCCTCTTCTTTACACTCCCATGGCCCCAAAACTAAAACAATACACATATCTCAGTTTTCCTTGATAATAACCCCCTCCTGTAACTTTACAAGCTGGTGATGTTTGAATGATATGGAATGGACCCATATTTCAATTAGGCATTCAAATTGTGGTGGTCCAAAAATATTTTCCATGTTTAAATGGTTTCATGGTCGGCAACACTAACAGCCAAAAAACTTTGACTAGTTGACATTTAACACCAGCTAACAATAAATTAGCAATTTCTTAACAGAAATCATAATCACCATTCCACTGCCACATGCCTCCCTTGCTGTCATGTTCCGCATCACATATTTGGGCCTTGGTTCCAGTAATGGAATACCCCTCAGTCGTGCCTGCTCTTCATAGAGACCCTCATTAAAAGCATCACCAACAGCCTGTAGTGTCACAAATTTAATGTATTCAAAATGACATTCTGACTTTTGGTCATGAAGTAAATTTTCACGCACATACCTTTGATATAAGAAGAACAAGCATGATAAGGGGTAAAAGTTTTAAGTTATTTGTGATTTCAACCATAATGACACATAGAGACACTGTCATCCGCATCGAACCTCCAAGAAAAGATGCAGCTCCCAGCAGAGCATACCTGGGGACAAGTATCACATGTACATTTCAGGGATGATAAAAGGTTTAGTAATGGAGCACATCATTCTAAAAAGTAGAGGTATCAACAACCAAAGGTTATTTGCATTTTTCACATAAAAGTATAAATAGCAGAAGTACAAGGGAAATATTTTTGACAGGTAGCATTCTGCTTGTTTAAACATCAACTGACACTAAATCCAAGACATCCAGAACATACAATCATAAGAAAAGTCATCCCAATGGTTTCCTGAAACCTCCATGCTTCTATTTCTCCTCATAAAAGAGCATAAACCTCAAAGCATAGGCTAGTTCATACTAGAGATGCTTGAATGGTCAACTGCAGCACCAATTTTTTTTCCCATTAGCAACACTGACTAGCATAAAAACAATTTCTTAGCTTCTGAGGTCTCTTGTTAAAATATCTCCCCAACTCCTCCAGGGCTGTTTTGCATAAGGACATAAAATTCTTAGCAAGAGGCCCTTGATTTGTTGAACTGTCAAGCACTGTTACAAAGATTAGGAATACAAAATAGCCATTTTCTTAAAAACCCTCTCATGTGGTGCTGCGCAGTCACACACATCTCGTGTGCTTTGGTAGGAGAATTGATAGCAAAGAACTCTAAGCATTTCCGTGAAGTTTTCTCCAGAATTTCGTTCAGAACAGAGTTCAGAATAGGAGAATAAAGCCTCTTCCAAACCGAACTCAGAGAGCATGATAATACAGAGGATTCATCGGATTCATCAGTTGATTAACAATGGATTCTATGAACAAACCTACATGCCTGTATATGTATGATGGAAAAAGATATAGTTAATCATGATTTCAAAGAATAGCAAATAAGAAATACACTCACGTTCCCTCTTCAATGTTGAGCTTTCTGTAATATCTTACAACAAACATGCCAACTAGACGCCCATATGTTGAACCTATCATGATTCCAGGAACAAACTGACCAGCAGGAACAGCAGTACCAAATGTCACCACAGCTAAAGTATAAAACATAACCTGCCACATGATGGAGAAAATGATCAAAATAGGGGGAAAATGAAGAGTCAAAACTCACAAGTTCTTACTCCCTATATCATACAAAAACATAAAGATAAAGCATCTATTGGAAGTCTTGGTCAGAAACTTGGTCAACAAGGCCTGCATATTTATTCATGTCTTGCAAGATAACATGCTCCCTTGAAAAATGAAACAAAATTGCTCCATTCGTGATATTAGTATCATCAGAAAGTGCAGTCAGGCAATTTAGA